TGCTTCGGGTGTGTAATCAGCGTGGCCTGTCCAATCTGTCCTGCCTTGGTCCTGCCCTGATAGTGCGGCCGTTGGAATCCTTCGAAATAGCGACGATTTCTTTTATGTTTTGAGTTTGTAGGCGAGAGTTTTTGATCCGGATGGCCGAGTTTTTTCCTTGCACCCGTAGTTGTATGAGTAACTTAAGTAGATCTGGAGTATCCATGCCCCACTGATGGTTTGTCAATAGCTTGACGAACCGGGGAGGGTGTTCGTGTGTCTGGATACGAGCATGGTAGATCTGCTAGCAGCACGGGGGGGTACGTAGACAGGAGCATGTGTATGCCTGAAAAAGTATACAATGTGTGGGCCCCCTTTCCCGAATTCAGGAGGGCCACTTCTTCCCTTCCTTTCCTCGCTCCCGCGGGTGCCTAATCAGAGAGAGTTAAAGCGTGTCTTCTCCTCCCAAGTACGGACATACCAACATCCAACACTCGACGCGGTCGATTCCCGTGGTCGCAGGCTAACTTCCCTTAAAAAGGTACACTCAAAAAAAAATTAATTGCCCCGAGGTGTCCGCAAGTCAATAGAAATCAACTATAGATATTCTGGAGTCCTCCACTCCCTCTGCGCGCTATGCGAGGTAACAACTGAGACTAGGAGTCACCATCACGGGCCGGAGAGAATGAGGTACATCCCCTTGGTTCAATCTTGGTACTTCACAACGCAAGCAGATGAGACAACAAGGCGATCTGGCACAGAAAAAGAGAGAAAAAAAAGAGAAAGAGAGAAAGAAAAGTATGTGGAAAGAGAGGAATGAGAGGTTGTTCTAGCTTATAAGCAGTTTTGACGGAGTGTGTATGGGTAGGGGGAGTAATCCCTGTGTCCGTGTTGTTCCCAGATGTTGTCGCATCAAGTGGCAGCATGTATCATGGACAGGTAGACGTGAAAGGGCGGCGACAGGTGAACGGCAGCAGCAGTACGTTGTGCATGGTGGCATGTTGGGCTTGTACAAGGACGCAGTCCATCTTCGACCACACACGAAGGAGGTTGTTCGTACCTGTCGGAGTTTTGGAGGGCCCAAGTCTGTCTCAAGCAGCAGTAGGAAGGAGCGAACAGGCGCAGTGCTTCTCTACAGCTTTAGAATCCGTCCTCCTCAAATCCTAACGGAGATGATTACGTATCGCACAACGGCTGGATCCGAATTGCCGGCTAGCTCCGAAAACCAGGAGAGGTGGGGGAGTAGCTCAGACGAATGGCTGCGTGTGCGCTCCTTCATGTGCATACTTGGCTGACTTTTTGAAGTGCATACTTGGCTTTGCGTAGGCATGACCCATAGCGAGGGGGGGGTCTTTCTAGCGAGCAGGGCTAGACTCACCCTCAAGGGACCGATACCTTCTTCCTGCGGCGCACCCGCCGCGAGGCGTGCGTAGTGGTGGAGTTGGGTCGGCACTGGTGCGTCAGGTACAAAGGTGGAGATGCGCGGGCCTCCAGGCCGTCGGCGTAGGCAGCAATGCCCATCTCATCTTTGTGCGCGGAGGCAGACGTCATCAGAAAGGTGGACGGGCACTATGTACACGGCCCTAGGTTTGCTAGAGGGAGCTGTACTGTCTCAGTAACCTGGTTTTGCCACCGAAGGAGGAGGGGACAGGTGGTGACGAGCTGATTGGGCTGGTTGACCCTTCGGCTTAAGAATTTGTAGACCAAGAACCCTAAGTGCAACGAGGGAGAAAGCGAGGAACCGACTGGGATGGACAGCAACGAGAGCGTGTACGAAGCGGAGCGGGTCGAGTTTGGTCGTGCTAGGACTGGCCACAGCGGCACCGGAGCAGCGGCACCGGAGCAGGCGGACGGCATCGAACCGTGGCGCACAGACAAGCATCTCTTGTGTTGTCAATTTTTTTTCCGTATTTTTCCTGAATACAGGTGTTGGGTGTGTGTGACGACGTTGGCCCCTCCTTCGGTGCCAGTGACGTGATGTCCCAAGAACGTCACCACCTTCACCCCCAGGTTCGTCTTCTTGGGTGCCAGTTTCAGGTTGAACTTGACCATGCGCTCGAAAAACCTCTCCAGGTCGCGCACGTGTTCTGCCCCGTCCCTGGANCCAGCGTACTGAAGATTTTCGATTCGTCCAATGGAATGGGCAATGTCGGGATTACACTAATTTTATTGATGCGATTGTAGTTGACCGTCAACCGTACACCACCGTTAGCCTTCGCGACTACCACCAGCGGACTCGCCCAATTGCTGTACGATCTCCGCAACACACACGCCAACAGCAGTTTGTCAACTTCGATCTGCACCTTTTCGTTCATAACCGGCGAATAGCGATATGGCTTCTGCCGCACTGGATGTGCCCCCGGCTTCAAAATGATTCGAAACGGATCGACCGTCACTCGTCCTAAATCCGAACCACCCTTCGAAAAACGATGCTGAAACTCGCACAATAAATCACTTAGTTTGTCAATGTCCTCCGGCTCCCACAGTTTCGCATTGAAGTCGAAATGGACGTCTCGAATGTGCGGAGGCACCCTCTGCCACAACCGCCTGAACGCCACCTGTTGCGCCCCATTCGAAGAGAAAACAATCATCACGCGAGAGCATCGAAGACGACTCGAAGAGTGGGATTGTTGAGGAGGAGGGGGGCCGATCCGTGGTGCACAACACCGAGGGTGATGGCCTGGCGACGGGGCGCGTCTCGTCCAACCACGGGAAGCGACGTTTCAGCATATCTAGAGTATTCCAAGCAGGGTGGAAGTAATTATCCCAAACTGCAAGTGGTTGCGAGTGCTGATAAGTTGAACTGCACGGATGTAGGCCGTGGGAGCAAGAATGTATTGAGGACTAGTACCCCGCGAGGAAATCTTGGTCGTAGTACATCGCAAGATGCACGTGCACAGCTTGAGGAACCAATCACTAGTGAGACACACAGGGATTTTCCAGAAGTAAGTAGGGGTGCCGAACACGCGCCCTTCGTCAGATCAAACGAAGTTTAGCATTGGCAGAATGGGAAATGTTAATGACAATGCAACACCAACGGGGAATGCGTTTACCACTCAAAGGAAGGAAATACGCAAGGCAAATTCTCCGAGAACAGTGAGGTGTCCGCTGTATCCTCAAGCGGAACACACTGTTGGTCGAAATGGAGCCAAAGAGGGGTCGATTGATCGGGACACTAGAACGGAAGAAAGCGTTTCCGTTGATCGTGCTGGGCGCAAGCAGAACCATGAAACTGTTGCTTTGCCAGTGATAAGAGAAGAGGTCGTGATAGGGGATGCATCAGCCTCTGAAAATTCTCTCACGCGTGAGGATGAGGTAGCAGCGCGAGAGGAAGGAAATTTTGGTGAAGTGCAGGAAGGAACAGATCGCATTTTTGCCGTAAAAAGTATCTGTTACTTCTGTGTCAGGACAAAGGAATGATGCGGTGTACCCCCCGCCTCCTTTTACGTTTGCTGTAGGTGAAGCGGCGAACTACCTGTCACCATTTACTCGGTCGGTCGGTAGGGATTTGACGATGGACCGACATCGACATATGACTCGAGTGCAAGTGTTCGCGGGGGCAAGGGCGACCAAGATGATGTCGTGGGAGGCTCTGTTGGATACGGGAAGTCCGGCATCGTTTGTACAAGAAAGTTGTGTGAAAAAGATGTTGGCATATGGTTCAGCTTCAACTGACAGTATTGAAAAGGGGCTGAACAAGAAATGGGATGGGTTCCATGGGGTGCCATTGGTTACAGATCGAAGAATGCGATTAAACATGGAAATGTGGAAGGAACAGGGTTTTCGCCTGATTGAGAGCGGAGTATACGACTGAGAGCGCGAGCCAAAAAAATTGAAATTTCGGGTCCAGACGCCTCTTGCCATTTCTTGGGAAGTAGGGGGCGGTCTCTTCCAAGAAGCGGCGCAAATTGAAGGTCTCATCAGCAGCGTCACGAGCATATGCGTGTCATCGCGATCGGATGCTGCAGCTAGGAGCTAGACAAGTTGCTAGATTTCCCCAGATTGGCTATTCCTGCCTCAAACTGTTTCAGGGCGATTTGATCGCGGGCGGTGAGCTCTGCTGTAGATTCTGCTCCCCGCTGTAGCTCCACAACGAGAGACGCCCACAGGATGACCAGGGTATCGGCTTGTAGCTACGGGCTAGGCCTTCAATTCAAGTCACGCAGCAAGCTCCACCTCTCAGCGGTAGTCCAGCTACAGCGCATCGCGCAATCTCGCTCTCAATCAGAAACTTCGCTCTCAATCACACGAAAACCTTGTTCTGGGCGGGAAATCAGCGCCGGTGCATTTCGGTACACCAACAAGACGGACGAGTGTGTATGCATACATTGTGCACGACTCGGTCATGGGACATGATCTGATACTAGGAGGGACAGCTGGGCTGATTTTCCAGTTCGGAAATTCCAACACGTGTTGGACGCAGAAACAATTGTCACTTTTGTCGGTGCAAATACTGATAGAGTGGCAGGAGATCACCGCTTTGATGAATGGGTAGGTAACGTGGTTGGTATGGTGGAAACGGAAGGGGATGGAAAGGTGGTGGTGAAATCTAATGGTAGTAGACGATGGCTTCCAAATGCAATATCATGGGTTGAGGTAAAATTGACCAACCTAGATGGCAGTGACGCTGCGGTGGGGACGTACCGTGTGCAGTTTGGGAAGAAGTGGTTCCCGCGAGAAGCGCTAGTCGAAAATGGCACGTCTGAAATTCCGTTAAGAAGAGTGGGGGATAGCTCGTGTCTGGTGAAACCAAACGATATTTTGGGGTATGGTGGTGAACCCCTGGAGGTGATGAATTCGGACGATGATGCTCGTTTGGTGGAAATGAGGAATTCGAAAATGTATTTGCGGTTCAGGAGCGTGAAAAGGTTGGCATGCCTGACGACGAACCTCCCGCTGATGCTATGTCTTCTTTGAATGGGGCGCAACAGGTGGCGTTCAGACGGTTGTGGCAGAGGGTGCCTCCGCACATTCGAGACGTCCATTTCGACTTCAATGCGAAACTGTGGGAGCCGGAGGACATTGACAAACTAAGTGATTTATTGTGCGAGTTTCAGCATCGTTTTTCGAAGGGTGGTTCGGATTTAGGACGAGTGACGGTCGATCCGTTTCGAATCATTTTGAAGACGGGGGCACATCCAGTGCGGCAGAAGCCATATCGCTATTCGCCGGTAATGAACGAAAAGGTGCAGATCGAAGTTGACAAACTGCTGTTGGCGGGTGTGTTGCGGAGATCGTACAGCAATTGGGCGAGTCCGCTGGTGGTAGTCGCGAAGGCTAACGGTGGTGTACGGTTGACGGTCAACTACAATCGCATCAATAAAATTAGTGTAATCCCGACATTGCCCATTCCGATAGTGGAGGATATTTTGGCGGAATTGGACGAATCGAAAATCTTCAGTACGCTGGATTTGGTCAGTGGGTTTTTCCAGTGCAGTATTGAGAAGGACAGCATTCCGATCACTGCTGTTATCACGCCTACGGGGTTGTACGAATTTTTATCCGTGCTGCAAGGTCTCAGTAGTAGTCCTGGGTGGTTCCATTCGGTGATGGCCAGAGTATGTGACGGGCTGGAACGTGTGCGCGTGTTCATCGATGACGTGATCGTTTTTTCCAGGGACGAGGCAGAACACGTGCGCGACCTGGAGAGGTTTTTCGAGCGCATGGTCAAGTTCAACCTGAAACTGGCACCCAAGAAGACGAACCTAGGGGTGAAGGTGGTGACGTTCTTGGGACATCAAGTCACGGCGGAAGGGATCGGGCCGGGCCCGGAAAAGGTCAGACCGCTGCGTGAAGTGCCAATGCCCACTAATGTTGGCCAGTAGCGATCGTTGCTGGGGTCCTTGTCGTACTATCGAAAGTTCCTGAAGAACACGTCGGCAAAATTGAAACCGATCAGTGCGATGCTGAACAAGGGGGCGAAGTTTACGACCACGGCTGATCATGTGGCAGTAGTGAGGAAAATGATGGATGCTCTGTCTGGCCCTGAAGTTCTGGCATTTCCGTGTTATGAAGGTGCAACCTCGGGAAAGCGGCCGTTTTGGTTAACCGCTGATGCGTCGATTTCGGGCTTGGGAGCCGTAATCGAGCAAGAGCAACGCGATGGAAGTATTAGACCGCTATGCATTTTGAGCAGATCATCATTCGCGAATGAAACGAGATTGAGTCCGACTGAGCTTGAAGCGGGTGCGATAGTGTGGGCGATAAAGAAGAATCGAACACTATTTTGTGGCATCCCCTTTGAAGTGTACAGCGACCACAAACCATTGCGGAATTTGGGGAGTTTTACAGAGAGAGGTGGTATGACTTCCTGTCAGCGTACACGTAGGAACAGAAGTTTCGACCAGGGTTTAATGGCATCCCCTTTGAAGTGTACAGCGACCACCAACCCTTACGGAAATTGGGGAGTTTGGCAGAGAAAAATGATCGCGTACAGAGGTGGTATGACTTCCTGTCAGCGTACACGTATGAACAGAAGTTTCGACCAGGGCGAGAGGATGCAAATGCCGATTTGATGTCACGGCTGCCATTACCTGCGACGAAAGAGGATGAGGCACCAGATGTCAGGCTAACTGGTCCGTCTGATCTCGATCTTTGTATGATAGGTGCGAGCGGGGTGCTACCTTCGCGATTGGGTCCGGTGTACACCGAGCGAGAGGCGCTCGCTGGGTTGAACCATCGCGATGATTTTTTGGTGGGGGAAAGTGGTTGTGCATGGGCAAACCTCACTGCGGATGAACCGGCAGACAAGACGTGGGCGCTGATCCAAAGGGAAAAGGGCGTGTCCAACCCTTTGCCTGATGGTGCGTGTGTGCCTGATGACACCCGGATTGTGGAACCGAATGAGGAAGTAATCAGTGGTCAGTTTGAGCCAGGGCTGATACTACATGCTGTTCCTTCAACGGAAGTTGGCAGACGCTTGTTAGGATTGGTGGAAAAACCGCGAGTG